TTTAATTTAATTTAATTTAATTTAGTCCATTTTCACTGCATTAAGTTTTGCAGTGGGGAAGGACTAGAAAGGAACATAGGAACCATTCGTGCTAGTCCACCCTCCCACCCATCCCACCCCAGGGGAGGACATCCATCACACAGTAATCTCGTGTGTGGGAAATTAACGTCTCCTACCCCAACCCTGCAGGAGACGGGACCTCCATTTATTCGTCCCTATCCGAGAAGACTAGAATATCTAACCATTTCTTGATGTTATAGAAAGGCAGCAAATTCTTCTCAATTATTTTAAGACCCTGAGTGTTGGTCCGGCCGGGGCTCGAACCCTCGACCTCCCGCACAACAGTCCAGCGCTCTATCCATTGAGCTAACTGAGAGGCGGTTAGTGATTCCTGACAAAATTTCAGCGGTACGGGTCTCGTTCAAGGTCAACTTGACAATTGTAACGAAGAAATCATAAACTATTGTCGGATGATTCTGCTAGAATGTACGAGCCTTTCAATTACTAAAGCGCGCGACAGTTAGGTTTCATATGGATTACTTTAGACGTCTGTCTCTCAACACAGTTTTCTTCACATGTTTTTGGTTTCAAAAAATTGTGCGGATTGATACTATAAGCTCTGTGTGACCCCACCTGAGTCCAATTTACCGAACTATCAGTTACTACGATTTTCCTCAGCATACCTGTCTCAAGCTGGGCGGAATTTGCATAGATCGCGTATTAAGAGTGTGCGTCTTCAGTTTGGGAATAAATTTTTACATAAGGAGAGAACGTGGACGTCGCATTTTGGAACCACCTGACAAGTTCTGGAGGAGCTGTAGAGAACTTGTGTGTCTCATGTAGAGTCTCGCTTATGAGAGACCGAGGAATACGCGGTCAGAAATACTTACAGTTTAGGTTCATTGATGCATTAGTGGTCCCTCTTTCTATGGAAACACTGGAACTTTTTGTAAAAGATGATGAAACGCGATTTTAGTGAGAACCGCGCACTGAGAATAATCTCTTCATTTTTCTACGAGACAGTGACTTTGAAGTGGTGGCACATTCAATCAAAAGTTATTCTCTGGGCTCGAATCCGGTCAAACAATGGCGATTCAATCATCTTTGTTCTAAATGGCAAAGGAGTATTTCAACCGTTCAGTTATACACGGTTACGTGGCAACGGTCGTCTTTCAGTCTTCCCAGCTGTTACCACGAAATGCTTGTTTGATTTGTCAAATATTATCCTAACTGCAAAGAGTTACGTTTCTGAGCATTAAGAGACTCTTGAATGACTGGTATGATCCACGCCGCTGATCATCGAGAACATGCATGAAAAAAACGTTTTAATCTTTTGTCGATCCAAACTGGTGATGCGTTTAGGGGGCTTTGTTTTAGTAGATAATTTGATAAGTGCACACACTCGGTTCTTGTCAGGACTAATAATTGTTTTACACAGAGACGGACAAACCGATTTTGTGTCAAGAATGCAACGGTACAATAGCAAGTTATGATAAGATATTCTTGAATAAAAAACACTTTTTACAGCTTTTTCAAACAACCCACCAGGTGGTTTTTGAAAAGGACCATCGCTTGGAACGATGCCCAATAATGTCTAATGAACCTTAATGCAATTGCACTGTCAAACAAAGCTTGTTCTATTCACATCTCGCGTCAATAGGAAAACAAACTACTCAAATAAAGGCTTTTATTAAAACCAAAATGACGCTTTAAAATTTGCAATAACCAAGAGCTGCTACACGGTGTAACAACTCAAATTGTTCAAAAATATTTTCCTGACTTGTGTTTATCGCCGATAGGTGTAGAGATATTTGATCTCAGTTCTGACGTAAATTCAATCTTTTCCAAATGTTGAGTCGCGTTTAACAACCTGCAAAGTCCGAATATTTGCTTTGAATGATCTACTCACGACAGCAAGAACCTGTGAATTACCAGAAAATAAACTCAAAAAATCTATCTTCCTTTTTGTCCGGTTGTTATGAAAGGTTATTTAAAGAAATTGTACACGCGATACCCTAATCAAAGAAACACCTGTACCCTACTAAAAACCAACCTCGACAACCGATTGTAGTAAACCCTGTACTTCGACATGAAGAACGACCATATTCTAATATCTTAAACCTCTTTAGCCCGGTAAAACAAGACTCTATACCCCGATATAACAATCCCCTTTAACCCGGTCAAACGAGTCCCTACAACTCAGTAGAACGAACAACTGATACACCTAAAACATATAGAGCAGAACATACGTCATACATGACCAACACAGACATTTGCAATCCCCCCCTTTCCCCCTGGCAGCTCGCTATATCTAACAAATGAATAATTGTTTAACCACTTGAGCTCTTTATGACCAATTATGGTGTCACTCTTTCGTTATCATCAACCAATATCTATTAAACATTCCTGCTATATCTATATATACTGTTTAAGTGTAAGATAAGGTTTTGTTTCAGAAAGACTCCCGGGCTGCTTTTCTCACAATAGATAGTAAACGCCAAGTTCAGAGCTTTTTGTTTACATCTGTGGTTATCATTTTAACGGCATAAGAACACAGCGGGGGGTCTGGTAATGAACGTCTTTATTCCGGCCCTCTTTTGATGTATGTTTTCGCTGTGAAACGCAAGGCACCGAGGCAGTCGACCGGAATCAAATGTTTTGAGTTAATAGCCGTCGATTAGCTCTGACAAAAAAGATTGACAAAAGAAATACCACGACAAAGTCTTCGAAATTACTTCAACCGTTTTTCGTTAGTCTCCAACCAGACCGGCTATGACTGAGTTTATACGCTCTAAGTAAATGTCCTGTGATAGAAAACGAAACAATTCATAAAACTTTTTAATGCAAAAATGTTTGGAAAAATTGACTTACACACTTTTCATTGCAAATTTCGACACTTGGGCACTGATTATACGTCATAGCCAATTAAAATCCATATTGGCTCAGAAGTAAGTGCTAAATGTGGCCTAACCTAGCGATAAGGTATGCTAGCAAGTATCGTATCAACCTAAAACACGAGATAATTACAGAGCTTGGTTAGATTATAAGATACATCTGTAATTCAATTTTTAGATTATCAATGAAGCTTCAGAAACCACGTAATATCTAAAACTTCCGATTAAAGGTAACTTTGTTACTTCCTTTAATTTCATTTTTCGCATTTTGACAAGTTTCTTTCTGAGTTTTTCGACAATTTTTTTTATCTCTTCGCTTTAGCATTAAAATTTGAAGAGAAAGAAACTTGCCTTAATGGAATGAGGTTAAATTAAAGACCTCGCATATCTGCGAGGATGATCTTTTCAGACCTTAATCTTAATTAATGCTCTATTTATAGGATAAACTCATTAATAACAGCGACCGACGTAACCTTTATCAACTTTCTGAGTTTATCTCGATAAGAAATACGTTCCTCGATGGATAAGTCATGTTTTTCCTTTCTTTTCCGCATTAATCCTTTCACAATTCTTGCTGTTGGACTCATGAAATAAGACAAGTATTGGTCAGTTACTCTGTGTAATATTTTAAAAGGCGTGAGACCTGTATCAACAATTAAAGCTCATGTCATTCGCGAAATTGTAGCCAGGATTTGCTATTTTTCTGCTCAGAATTATATAATGAAGATAACCCAGGTAGATAACTATGCGCTATACTATTACTATAACTTTTTCCTTTAAAGGCAGTTTTTTCTGTTTATTCAACTATCCAACGATCGAGTCATTGGAAAAATGAATTGGTCACTGCAAGATTTACGACAGAGTTGCATCAAAGTGCAAGCAAAAACCTTTGCTTGGGAAGCTTAAATCAGGATTGGATTGAAGAACTACGTATACGCGTTTAGCGTACAAAACAACTATTAACTAATATAAATCTCCATTGTTTGTCAAGGCACAAGCAAACCACACAGCTATCAGATAGATATTACTAAATCAAGACTGGAAAAGTAAAACTTACTAAAACCCAGCAGCTTTCCAAAAATATCATCAATAAACAGTAATGTTCCAGGCAGAAACGAAAGATAAGCACTGAATCAAAGAGTGTGCCAATAATTTCGAAAAACATGAATTACGACTTAATGTTATGTTATCGGAAGTTCGTTTCAGTTATGAGTTTGAAGTTCGGCAAAATATTCCTCTTTCTTGTCATCATGATTGATGCGCTTAATCCATAGCGGTAATCTTTTTCATCTAACGTAAACAACCTATATTTCGTTCCATCCAACAGATGTACAGCCCTTTTAGCGAGAAAGTATTTAAAAGAAACTTGGTGTAAGAGTTGCGTCAAATCTTTGGATAAAGCAAATCCACATAATCATTTCAGCTAGGGGGCAAGTTTCTCAAAAATAAGTTTCTCAAAACTTATGTTTTGTCTCGAATTCTCAGATTATACAGCTGGATAAATCTTGATCGATAACAAAACTAAGCTCCTTAATAGTTTCTGACAAACAAGGTTAGCAAGAAAGAAGCATTACAAAAAGATACAGTAACTCTTCGGTTTGAAACTTGCTCGTTTTATGGAGAACTATGTTATTTGGCACAAATACATCGTTTTCAAGTTTAATATTTGTTGTACTATACAACACGTGCACAAAGTTATCAAAAGGAGGCCGCGTTATATTTTTAGCCCTTGCTCCATTTCACAGCGGTGACCAATTTACGAAACATAATAAAAGCATTTTGTCTTCATGAGACATGACGCAAACAAAACTTAACCAAAACGAACATTTTAGTTGCAATTAAAATTACCCGTCTGTTTAAGTTTTTCAAACAATGTACAAGGATCATTGACTGAGTCTAGCAGTGGAGTTTCCGAATGAAGAACTTGACAAAGCACTTAAGGGTCTATCGTCTTACAATTTAACACAGTACTTAGTTGAAGTAAGTCAGGCAGATAGCACGTATAGAGTGTCATCCCCTAGGGTGCTCACGATCAATGTTGGCTCAATCAACCCATATGAATGTCGATTTCTTTAAACGCTAGATTCTGACAGTACTGAACAAAGACCGTTTTCATGTGGAACTTATTTTGGTCACATCTGGAAAATTTGTACAGCAAATGATATTATGTGAGAGGGTTGCATACCAGAAATGATTCAGTTTTGCCAAGTTGCAAAGAACCGTGACTCCATCCTTATTAATGCATAAATAACTCAATGTTTCAAGTGTACTAAAAAATTTCTCATTTGAACACTTTTTCATGTTTGACCTCCAATTCATATAAGTTGTTCGTAAAGTTGTATTTTCAAGGCAATTGAAATTTTGAATGGGAGGTAGGGGTCGTTTCCGCGGGTAGTTATGATAATATAAACAGTCTCTTGACACAGATCTCCTAAATGAGAAGGTTAACGTTAGGATATCGCCTAACCAACCACAGATCCTGAGTACTTTAAGACATGCTTAATCCCTAAAGCGGATTTCAATGCAGATAATGACCACTATGTGTGTTTTCGTTGATACTAAACAAATACGCTGTATACAGAATAAACAAAGACGCTTACTGAAGGAATTTCAATGATAGGGAAATTCTTACCTTGCAAGAATTTTGTGCACTAGTAGTATCAAGTTGTCGCTAGAAACAGCTTCAAGTACCGGGAGCTCCAAGAAAAAAAAGCAAACGAAATAAAATAAAGATCCTCGCAAGTTGAGGAAACAAACCGGTTAACGGAGATAATGCCTGTTGTCTTTAAACCCTTTTGCACCCACTTCTGTTCTCAAAATAAAGAAACTGACTTCTAACTTTCTGAAGCATGTTGACTCACAGTGTTTCGATTGGACGGAACATCTACCTGAAGATGCTATTGATACAGTTCATTGTCTCAAGTAGCTCAGCGAAACAAATTTTCTCAGCAAGTTGCTCGATGAAAGAGGCATGACCAGGAGAGAAATAGCATAATACGGACGTCATCTGTAAAGGATAAACAATGAAAAAGCCTCGAGGATATGATGACCTCTCCACTCCCTGCTTTGCATCGACTTTGAGAAACATGAGACATTTTATTAATTTGCGTCACCAACAAAACACTTTCACAATTTATCACGAATCAGCCCTACACAAGGAGCGCAATCAAAGCATTTAGACACTGTTGATGGAAATGCCAAACTTATTAAATTAAGACGCGTAGGTTAAGAGCATTTCAATGTAGCTGATCAGTGCGATCTATTTCGGTCAGCTAGCAAGATTTGCTTGGACGGTTTCCTAATAGAAGAGAAGTCTTCGACTCCGAATAAACGGGAGGAAATGTCATTGGGCTTTCCGGCTAGCAAACGGTCAGGTGTTTTAATTTAAGAAAGAGGGAGGCTGGCTAAGGCAAACGTGTTAAGGAATTTGAATAAAAGAGTCCAAAAGCTGTCCGTTTGACCAGCATGATATTTGAATCACGACTCAATCTCGCCGTTTGCATAACGACTGCGAAGGACGTAGTCGTGTCGGCTGAAGGATGCTATTGCCATTGAGGAAAAAGATTAAGTTACGATGAGTAGTTTCCCTTGTGCCACCAATTCTATCAAAAACTTAAGTTTATTGCAAGTGCCATAGATCGGTAGTGCAAACCAGGCTATCAATGCGGGGATTGTTTATAAAGCAAAGTTGGCGAATTTTCTAGGAATCATATCGACTGTCCAGGAGATTGATGGTCCCTGTAGCAGACAATAGTATGTTGTACGTGAGTGGGTAATAAAAGACAGAAATCACTTTGTCCCTGCGCTTCAATTATAGAAACTAGATGTCAATGAAACAATGAAGACAGGAAATGGTTATGCGGTCTAAATAATTAAATTTACAGGTATGCTAATTGCATATTTTTGTTCCACAACGGTTGCGGTTGTGGCCTGGCTCAAAGAAAATATGTTTACATCACGTGGCATCATGCGCGTGCACATCCCGCAATGCAACTTAAAACGTGCAGTATTTTGAGTTCTGTGTGTATCCGTGTGATGATAGAAAACGCGCAAATTTTCAGCTCAGCGCATCTCTGTGCCTTTCGTGTGTGAATGTGTGGCTACAAGATGCCTAGAAAAAAAGAATTCAGTTAATCCAAAGTGCAAAAGTAATCGAGAGATCAAATCCGGTCACCGAGGTATTTCTTCTTTTCCTGATAACCTCTTTGAGGTTTCAAGACAAACGAAATTAGTCTATGGCATTTGAGACAGATAGGCGACATACTCCTTTTGTGGGTTACATACAGATGCTAATTTTTATTCCGATCTATCGTTTGGTCAAAGAACTTGAAAACCATTCTTTGACGATGACAAGTCTACAGGACAATGTTTAAATCATGTACTATATACACAATTGAAGTAAGCATCACGATTGTGGCACCTCTACTCAGGGCGTACTCAGTTTTAGTTGATAATCCGCTCCAGCTTCTTTTTGTTGTTGCTGTAGTTGTTTTTGTTTTCTCTCGAGAAAAGAGATTATAAAATGCTTTCGACCTTTGTCCAGCTCTGTAGGGACAACACCGCAGAAACTGGACTATTTTTGTAGTTCAGCTTATGGTTTGACTCTTCAACAACAAACTTTTCCATGGACTTTAGACTAATTTTTTTATCGTCTCTCCTTTGCTAAAAGAAATATCTAAAAATGAGAAAGCGTTATGAGTATTCAGATTTTTCATCACTTAGTACTTTTTCACCAGAATTATCAATCTTACTCTTTCGGCAAGAATGATATGATGTTAAAATGCAACTTTTCATCTAACCAATGTTCTACGGTCTTTACAGTCCTGGCATATGGATGGCACATTTTCTATGTCACTAGAGTGTCATAAGTGTCTGTGATTAAATTCCTCCTGCTCCTATCTGAAGAAAGCGAAGCATATTAATGACTTTAAAACAAATCCAAAAATTTGCAGAAAGGAAAAAAAAGCAGTCAATGTGAGTGAAGAAGAATCATTAGTTTAAGAGCCGGGTATCCAGGGCGAGCAGCAGCATCAAGTTATGTCAAGTACATGCAAGTTTTTGGGCTTTACAAGAAGAATGGTGTAGCGATTATATGGTGTAAAGTTCCAAAGAATGTGGTAATTGGGTTTGTACGTCAAGGTGAGTCATTACACCTCAGATGTTTGGGTACTTATAGAGTTTTCATGTTTCTACAGATTGGAAAAAACGATAAAGAACATCGATATCCCATATACGAGCCGGCAAAATTTCAGAAATCTGCAGCACGTCACAACGCTTAGTCAATACTAGTTCTAATAAACAGGCCTGAACATTTGCCTGAACAAAAAAATATTGCAGGTGGTTAAATGATCTGAAAAGATGACCAGAAAAACAGTATACAGAACGATAGAACCTCAGAGACATCGGTGCTGGGTTTGAAATCACTTTTTTTAGGCCAAAGATTGGTTTGGTGAAGGTGGTATGTTTTAACAATGGAATCGTTAGTTTTTTTACTCTGCTTTTTGCTTTTTGAAAGATGGAAATCTTACGCACTTGTTTGAACAAACAGCTAAGATTATATATTTATTAGGAAAATGTCGTAATAAATCTGTCAGCATAAGTTTACCCCGCATTGAATTCTGTCGCGATTTGCTTTAAATTTCTTTCCTCATCATTTCGGGCTTGTCTTTCATTTGGGTACATCTGGGAAAGAGCACATGTGATAAAGAGATTAAGTTCAATATGGACTGATTTGCTCTCCAGAAAAATGATCATTCTACATCGATCCTGCAAACAAGTATTTGTTTTGTGTTGTACAAATTATCTGTTCAGATAACGTATTTGAGTTCGTCCTAAAACTGAACTGCCTGAAGAGTTTTTAGTCAGGTGCGAGGTAAAAACAGCAACTAAGGATTTGAGTCGAAGTGTATTAGGTTGGCACTTTTTGTGCGGTATTGATACTTTAAGAGGATTTTACAGTCACAGCCACCTTAAGATTTTAAGCCTCGAAAGACAAGTTATGATGATTTGCTAGCCGGCGGGCTCGAACAAAGGCTATCTCCTCAAACAGAACACGGTCGCCAACCTTTTCGTCTTGGAACGGAACTTTAAGTTAATCTAAAGCGGAAACGTGAAACCACTTGAAATGATATAAACGTTTTGAAGTCAACTAGTGTATTTACTAAAATGCTTCCACTTTTTTGAAAGAAAAATTTTATCATGAACACTGATCGTGAAATTGGAGTAGCAAAATTATTGGCTGCGATATCGGACGATTGCGCTCTTTAATTGCGCTGTCTGCGATAGCAAAGTGTTTACAAAAGGTACTTAATTTGTGAGACTTCAACCTTTTTTTTGAACAAAAATGCCCAGCTTTCCTGAAAGATTGAAAGATAAAAGTTGAGGTTTTTGAAATGTAGTTAACGAAGTTTAATCCGACGCCTGGAATGTCTACGAAAAAACTGCATCGCAGATAATTTCAACCCTCTAACGAACAGCTGTTCCCCTTTCAAGCCGTTGCTGAACATAACACGAACGTTTCGTCATAAAAGACCATAATAAACCAACCGCCGACATGTTAAAGTCATCAATGATATCAATGTAATCTTAAATGCTTTTATAAGGGGTATGGAAAAACAATTAACTGCAGTGAAAACAGTTACAACAACACTCCAAACCCCTAGAAATTAACTGTGAACGAACTGAGCGAGACATCATGTAATAACTTTCAGAGCCTCACTTTGCGATTGAACTGGGTGTTAAAGTGATAATATCTATATCGCCAGTCTGGAATAGGATGGATGGAATACCTTACGTGATATAAAGTGCTAAGCTAAGGCGCGCACAGCTCTAAAATGTGGCGCTCGTTTTGATATTGTTTTTATTAAAGATTTAAATTCGATGCTTTCCGCAAACACCTTGTTGAAACTTTTCTTTGAGTATCTGTAGTCATGCAAAGTGGAAATTTGTGAATCATACAATCGTGCAAGCATTGTTAAATCAGTCAGTGAAACCAAAAACGTACGCGGCTCAGGCCCTCAAACCCTGCTCACGGTTAAACGGATGCAAGGCCCTTTAAACGCTCTTTAACATTACACTTGGTTTGTTAAAGTACAAAGGCTTCCCTACCTTAAACTTGGTTATGCAATTCCTGACCAAACAGTACCTCTCTTTTGCGACAAAGAGAGCCTTGGATTTAATGAGATGAGATGAACGCAAAATTGTACCTTTGTTCTAGTTACCTCTGATCTCAAATGGCAGATCTAAAACAAGAAAGCAAAACACTATCATTAGGTGAGCTTAATGATCTCTTTTACGAATGGAACTCGCTAAGGAAGTGACTAACTACCTTAACGAGCAGGCTGCAGTTGAATTATTGCTGTCAGTGCTTACAGACCCAATAAAAAATTGAAAATTATCAACCAGCCCACCAGAAAATGAACAAAACGTGTTCGCGTCCTTCAAATGATGTCCCCAAGCTGCATGCTACCTTCGTAAATACTATCTTTGCATCTTGTCTGATTAGTTGATTTGTTATTTTCCGAACTCGGTGTCATTTTTCGAGTTCACAAAATGCTTGGCGTGATTATTTACTTGTTTTTATTGCGCTGTTTAGAGAGCGCGTTCTGTCGTTTATCTCCTTCACCAACCAATCAAATCAAAGAACACGAGATAGCGCTGCAATTGGCACGTCATTTTTGACTGTGAGTGTGGAGTAATGAAGATAAGTTAAACGATTCCCGCTTGGCAAGGCGTTCACAACCACATACCATATAATTGCTTTTTAAATCAAGATAGAACTGGACCCGCTTGTTCGAAGGTTGGATAACCCTGTTGACTGGATCAATCTTTATCCAGTGGATAGCACAGCACGTTTTGCTATCACCTATCCGATGGATAGCGATTTACCCGTTGGAAAGCGTTATCCGCCCTAGGCCTTTACACAACCGGACCGTGGATTATATCAGCGTCAATAATGTAGCAAAACTATTCGTTTTTGGTGGCCTAAACGTTACCAAAAACGAAACAATCTCATTTTGTTTTGGCTATTCCTTGATGGCAGATTTCAATATTCTAAACTTTGCCCTTGTCCCTTAGCTCGGATAACAATGATTAAAAAAACA